TTTTTTTTTTTTTTTTTTTTTTTTTTTTTGATGCTCTTTTCGGGTGCTGATGGATGACGACGAACAGTGTTACGAAAACTTAACGTAATCGAACATCCTTCCCCCCTCCCCCTCCCCTCAACGTTCCGCAATCGTCGTTACTAATAGTATCATCGTAAACTAAATTTATGAAATTCCGTGGAAAAGGACTCAACAAAACCAATCTAATCCGACTGACAAAAAAAAAAAAAAAAAAGGGTCTTTTGAAACTTCTATTTTTGACCATTGAAGTACGACAACCTTTTAGACTTAGAAAATATTTTTGAGAAAATGTTTTTAAAAAATTTTTCATTTTTTTACTAATTTTTTTCTTTCTGCATAATTTAATCTGCAAAAGCGTTCTGCAAAAAAAAAAAACCGAAGAACCATTTTTGCATAAATCGATCTGTATCATGCAAAATTCATCAAAAATAAAAAACATTAGCCTCTTATTGCAGAATCTCTTCAACACTACAGCAAACCTCCAACTAATATGATTACTCCCAACTTTAGCTATAAACTCAAAAACTTTTTTAATGCCCAAAAAAAAATTATTTTTTAACCTTAAAAGTTTTTTACCATTGCCAAAAATTTATTTCTCTAATTTTCACAGAACAATTAAAAGAAATTTGAGAAGAAATTTTTTTTAGTTATTTTTATTCAATTTGTTGTTCAGATTCTACCTGTTGCCTTACCAGAAGAAAAATAAAAAAAATTTTAATATAAAATTCTATGCCAACTTATAAACTTATCTTTCTTTTCTTTTCCTTTTTCAATAGCTTTTGTAAAGGTTGGTTTTAGAGAACAGATAATCGTATTAATACATTTGTAAAGGTTCTTTTTTCTTCTTTTTCTTTTTCTCCTTCAGAAAACACCTACCAGTTTAATACCGGAACAAAAGAAAAAAAAAAAAAGGAAGAAAGGAAACATAGAGTAAGAAAATGTAGATCCTGTAAATAACACCAAAAATGGCCAAATAATTTCCTGATACCGGCAAGCTATAATAATAAAAAAAAAGCTGAAGAGATGGCACTATAAAAAATGTCTTTGCAACTTTTAAACTCACTTTTTTCTGTTGCAACGTTTTCTAGAATGCTCAACTATAATTTGGTAATAAAATTATCTCCGTGTTTGGTTAAATAAACTAAAAATTAACAATTTATACTCAAAATATTCTTTGATTTACCACTCAGTCATTGAGCCAAACAAAACAAAAAG